GTCAAATGGGATCTCTTATCTTAGTTTTTTGGTGAATCTCCACATTGATTTCCACAGCAGTTACATTAGTCTACATGCCCAACAACAGTGGAGAAGAGTTCCTTTTTCCCCCACAGCATTTGTTGTTAATTGATTTCTTGATAATAGCTTGATAATAACTTTCTGTGATGAGGTGGACTCTAAGCATTGTTTTCACTTACATTCCTTGAATTACCAGTGATGTTGAACATTTTTTCATGTATTTATTTGCTGTTTCTATGTCTTCATCTGAGAAGTGTGTATTCATCTCAGATGCCCATTTGTGGATTGAGCCTTTTTTTTTGGCTTTTAGAGACAGGGTCTCACTATTAGCTCAGGCTAGTTTTGAACTCATTATGTACCCCCGGCTGATTGAACTCATGGAAATCCTCCTGTCAGCCTCCCAAGTGGATTACAGGCATTCTCTAGCATGCCCAACAGGATTGGGTCTCTAAACTTGGATTGTGTGTGTCTGATTTTTTCCCCATTTTTTTAATGTTCTAGATGTTAGTCTTTGTCCTAGGAACCAATGGCTAAATTGTTTCCCAATTTCTCTGTGTATTGTCTTTTTACTCTGTTGGTGATTTCTTTTGCAGTGCAAAAGCTTTTTAATAAGATGAAGTCCCAGTTGTTGATTCTTTGTAGTATTTCACTTGTGGTCAGAGTTTTGTTTATGAAGTCTTTGACTATTCCTATATAACATTTTTAAAAGAAATATATATGGCAAAATGGTTACTGTAGTGAAACAGATTAACGTGTCCACCATGTCTCACAGTTACCCACTCCCTTCTCCCCACTCTGAGTAGGTACAGGCCACCCATTTAGCAAGAATCGTGAATATAATATAGTATTTTAACTATGGTTCTCATGTTGTACATGAGCACTTTCAATTTATTCATCTAGCATGTTTGATACTTTGCACTGTTTGATGTATATGTCCCCATTTCCTTCCCCCATCCTCACCCTGGTAATCACTGTTTTATTTTTTCATCTCAAAATATTTAATTTTTAAAAAATGTACTTTTAGATTCCTAATATGAGATGTGCAATTTTAAAAACTATATCTGTCATATGTCACTTGGTATAATTTCCTTTAGGTTTATCAGAGTGGTAAAAGGCAGAATCTCATTTTTCAAGACCAAATAGTATTATTCCATTGCATATATGTGTTGCATTTCTTTTTCACTTTCTCTACTGATAGACATTTAGATTGTTTTTCATATCTTGGCTGTTGTTAATAATGCTGTAGTGAACATGGGAGGGCCGTTCAGTGAACATGGAGGGGCAGATGTCTTTATGAGGTGGTGATTACATTTCCTTTTGGTACATAGCCAGAAGAAGGATTGCTGGCTTATATGGTAATTCTATTTTTAATTTCTTTAGGAACCTCCATCCTGTTTATATCAATCTGCATTCCCACCAACAGTGTGCTAGTTTTCCCTCTTCTTTATACGCTCCCAAAACTTATTCTTGTCTTTTTGAGAGTAACATTTCTTATTGAAGTGAGGTGATATCTCATTGGGGTTTTGATTTGCTTTGCTAATCTTACTATCGCTCCAGTTTTAGTATACAGTCATGAGCTGAATACTGATGTTTCAATCAATGACAGATTGCATGTTCAAAGACTGTCTCATAAGATTATAATGGAGCTAAAAAATTCCTTCTACATAGTGATATTGTACCTGTCTTAACATCTGTGTAGCACAACTCGTTAATTGCTTGTGGTGATTCTAGTATAGTCAAACCTGCTGCATTGCCAGTTGTATAAAAGTACAGAGCTTATAATTATGTATGATACCTAATATTTAAAAATACTAAACACCAATATTGCTGGTTTATATATATATTTTTATTGTTATTTTGGAATTTACTCCTACTTATAAAAAAGTTTGGTGTAAAACAGTGTGCTGTGTTTTGCTGGCAGGAGCCTCATAATCTCATGTTTACTGTATCATTTGATTGTATTCCTTTTTCTTTGCTTGATTTGATTTTGTGTTGTTTTGTTCACCCTGACACTAGGAGCATTAAGTGCTCTCTGTCCTTCCCCCATCACCCCTACAGAAATACCATGTAGTCTACTTGTATAGTGGGCTATGCTATTAGTGTGTAAATGTATTTTATGATGTTTGTGCAGCAAGGAAATTGTTTAACAGTGCAGTTATTACAAATATCCTTGTTGTCAGGCAACATATTACTGTGTGTGCTGCCTGTATGAACACCTGTTAAATTTCAAGAAACATTTAGGGCTGTGTGTGCTGTTATATGCCTATAATCCCAGCACTCAGGAGGCTGAGGCAGAAGGTTTGCCATAAGTTTGAGGCCAGCCTGGGTTACATAGTGAGTTCAAGGCTATCCTGAAATACATTAGTAACACCTTGTCTCAAAAACAAAAAACATCCAAAAAAAAAAGAAACGTATTTAACATGGTGATGAGTATGCAGATGTTGCTGAGCTTTCAATTATGATTCATTGGCTATAAGAAATATTGGCATATTTTCTTTGGTATATCATTTAACACACTGAACGAGTAAATGAAAATTATTTCTTTATGGAGTGTTAGAGATCTTTTCAATTTTGTGGGAAGATTTTTGTCTATCTGAGTTTCAATTCCCAATCCCAGTTTGAACTTCAATTAAAACATTCATTTCAAGTGAAAGGGTAATTGGATAAATGGTTTCTATGTTAAACTGTTTTATTTTGGTGTATTTATAGTAGTTTATACTAAAAAGATGAATGAGCTAACCATTTAACCATTTAACCATTTAACCATTTAACCTAAGAGGTTAGAACAATATAACAAATCCAAAGAAAGTAAAAGGAAGAATATATGATCTAAGTACAGAGATTAATGAACTTGAAACTAAGATATAGTAGAGAAATAGATCAAAAAAACAAAAGTGTTTTTTGAAAAGAATAATAAATTAGAGTGCCTGGCAAAGTTGGTTTTAAAAAAGAGTTGGGAGAAGAGAATACCAAAATAAACATGTTGAAAATAAAAAGAAACCTGACACGTGTAACATTGGTTCCAAATGTAAGAAAATATTTGAACAACTTTATTAGAAATTTTTTAGAAATTTTTGTTGAATTAGGCATCTCTTAGGAAAATATATATCCAAAATATGTAAGTCCAAAGCAGATTTAGGAAGAAACAGAAAATCAGATTATTCCATATCTGTTAAAAATGAAATTGGTAGTTAAATCTTCTACTACAAATTTAGTCAGTCAACATTCAAGAAGCAAATACTGCTTTCATTCCTTTTACAAACATTTGTAGAAAAGTATCTAACTGTTGCAACTTATTTTATGAGGCTAATGAAAACTTAAAAGGCTAGAATGAAAAGGGAAAATGATAGTTTCTCTTAACATATGTAAAAAATATTTAGCAAATCTTAGTAAACAAAATCTTGCTTTGTATAAAACAACTATATTATGATTAAACTGAGTTTAATAGAGAGAAGTAAGTTTGGTTCAAAACTGGTAAAAAAATTTTATTAATATAAATAGCAGATGAGAGTTGAAAAAACAGTTAATATTCAGATTCCTTACAAAAGGGAAAATAATTTACAGAAGAAAAAATATTTTCTTCAATTACATATTAAGAAAATGTAACTGAAGAAAATAGTGAAAAAAGTGCAGAGCATGATGAAAAAAACTATTACTCTGAAAACCTGAGTTGAATGTTTTTGAAAGAATTGACAAGGTTATGTGGGGAGAAAGTACTGATATTAAATTAGGTATGGGGAGATTGAGCTAGAACTAGTGTAGTCAAAAGTTAAAGAAGAAAACCTTAAAAATTATATACTTTTTCACTGAACTCTTAATGCAGGATTGTGGCCTTTTCTTTGACTAGGGATTCTGTGAATGGAGTTCGCTACAAATTTCTTGTATAAATTGAAAACAATTTTCAGTTTCACTAACTTTATGGAGGAGAAAGAATCTAAATGACTTTAAGTGAAATCTAAATGCAGAATAGTGGTGGTTTTTATGATTTTGTCCTAACTTTTTAGTTCAATACCACGTAAATTAAGAGCATTCCTACTATGGTAGAGAAGTAGGCTATGGAAACAAGTGTAAATGGGGATGTGGTTACATCCCTATGGATAACATGAAAAAGAAACTATATAGTAACCGCTTGTTGACAATATAATGTGTATATCTCTTTTTTTATATTTGACCATATAGAGTTCATTGTTTTTCTTTTGAGATTAATGCAGTGTCATGCCTGAGATTTCAAAAGACCTTTTCAACTTTTTTTTATTTTCATACTTTTCAAACTCTTAATGAGAAAACTAAAGTGATGTAACTCTCCAACATAGGGAGATCTGATTAGATGTTTTTGTAAATGCAAACATACACATACATGTATATACATACTGGATAAGTATATGTATAATTTATGATTTTCATATCTATGTATGAATATAATTGGTGGAAAAATTAATATTTGGTCTATATATTTAGAAACCTATTTTGAAATTATAGATGAATTATTTTTTAATGCAAATGTATGACAACTATTTCTAGATATAACAAATTTTGATAATATTAATAATGTGCTTGTTATAATGTTTAAATGATTATACATTTTGGTGACAGTTTAATTTAAGTTGTAGCAGTGGGAGCAGCCTATTTATATTTCAAATTGACATTCTTGGAAAAGAGGCTAGTGGGTGAACAGTAAGAGGGTAGATGGTAATCAAAGGTTTCGTTTAGATAAGAAGGATGAGTTCTAATGATTTATTGTACTATTGACTTGTTGATTATTGATTAAAAATACATTATATATTTCAAAATTGCTAAAAGAGTAAATGTAAATGTTCCTATCACAAGGAAAGAAAGTGTATGAGGTGATGGATATGTATATGTAGTCATTATTTGTCAATTAAAGTAATGAATAAAAAATTTAGAAGATCAAAAATGGTCAGTATATTTAATGTATAATTCTTTACTCTCTAAATGAGAGTTTTTTTTTCTTATTTCAGATAACCGGATGAGGCCTCTTTTGAATTATGGTATTGCTTGGTGAGCATTTTTAAAAATTTGGTATTACTTTTTTTATTTTTTGAGACAAGATCTCATTATTAGTTAGGCTAGCCTTGAACTCACTGTGTAACCCAGGCTGACCTCAAACCTTTGGTGATCTTTCTGCTTCAGCCTACTGAGTGCTGGGATTACAGGCATACATCACCACACCCAGCTGTATTACTTTTTAGAATAATATCCATTATCCCATACATATGAGTTGTATTTTTGTACTACTGTTGCAGTATGTCTATGGGATTCCTGGTTGAAGAGACTGCACCAGTGGTTTGGAGAGGCCTTATGGTAATGTCTGCCATTGAGAAACTGTTGAGGCAGGTAAGAAAGTTTAATTTAAAAACATTTTTTTATTGGCAAGGCTGTGGTTATAGTATTTATTGATTGGAGAATTGTAAAAGTTTGCAGTTAAGTTTCAGATGTTTTACAAAGCAATCCAGTTGTTGGGCTGAATATGTAATGAAAAACATGACACCTAATAAGTTATGTGGCACCAGGACCAAATTTCACTGTTACATGATTTAATCTTTCTTGTTGTGTATGAGTACTAAAAATCCTCATGTTTTATTTTATATTGTTTTTGTTGATTTCTTGAGTCTGCAGTAAGAAGAACAAAGAAATAATCTGCCTTCTTTAGACTTAGGGTTAATCTCATTGTGGTCAAAATTGAATTGCAAGGGTAGTGTAGAAATTCTTTAGATGTGATACTTGTAATTTTAAATTGTTTCCCCAGAAACTATAATTTTATTTTATTTTGAGTATGTTTACTTGTATAGTTATGTATATCATATCTGGTCAGTCAGCTTTAGTGTATCTTTAAGAAAGGGGCAGAACATTTCATTTGATAGTATAAAGTGTATGGGTTGGGCTATATGTTAATTATACTTTTCTTTGAATAAATTTTTTATCAGTGGATATGAGTTTATAATTGTGTTAGGTAAATATGAAAAGTAATCTGCATTTAATCCATCAATTTGCAACAGTCACTTTTAATCTGTTTAGATTCTACTTTGCATCTAACACCACGCTACAAGTGGACAATTCCAATGCTAAATATTTCTATATTCATTTTCAGATGCACATGTAATAGATGAAATATGTATTGAATGCTGAAACTGTTCTTTTTTCTTTATAACATCTTGTCTTTCTAGCAATTCTCCTGTTTGAGTTCTGACAAATGTGCTTTTTATTTTTGGACCCAGATGCCTATTCTTTCAGTTATTTAAGTTTCTTGGCTTCATTCTCTCCTCTTTACACTCAGGTTCTATTGGTTATTTCCCCAAAATAGCCTTTGCCAATTTCTTTGCTACCTTAATCTTTATCTTTTTAGATTAATTTAGCCTTTCTTTCTGTACTTCTGAAAGTACTTTTTTTCTGATATATTCCCCAAAATAGCCTTACCAATTTCTTTGCTACTTTAATCTTTATCTTTTTAGATTAATTTAGCCTTTCTTTTTGTACTTCTGAAGGTACTTTCTTTCTTAGAATAATTATGTTAATTACCTGTGTTATAGTTCTTCTTTTTTCCTCCAGTACTGGGTATTGAACCCAGGCCTCATACATGCTAGGCAAGAGCTCTACCTCTGAGCTCCATCACCAGCCTGACATTACACATAGCATATTGATACTCAAATTTAGCTACCTCTTAACACTTTAGTCATATGATTTTACTCATTGATCTTATTTATCACAAGCTCATCTAAAAAACAGTATTTAGAGAATCTGGTAGTCTGGCTGAGGACCAAGTGGGGATTTGGTGAAAATGAGCTCTCTGACAAATAAATTGTATAAAAGTAACAGTTTATTCTGGTAAGCTCTAGAGGTACATTTTCAGCACACATATTATAAAAAATCAGGATGGAAGATGGAGAAAATGGATCCACATGTTATTTTATTAGTATACTTAGAGGCTATCTAAGGTTGTGTGTGGATTGTGTATAGACTTTACTGTTTCTTATAAAGTCACTTTCATTTGTGCATTTTAATGGGGACTGCAGAGCTGTTATTTTAGGACTCTACTGATTAGTGCTTATGAACTGAGCTGCCAGTCAAGTCTTTTCCCTCTCTCTTTTTAATTATTTATTTCTGGCAGTGTTGGGTTTGAAGCTCAGGCTTTGTACATTTCAGGTAAATGTTCTGTCACTAAGTTATGTCCCCAGCCCTCATTTTTTAATTTTAATTTTGCTTTAGAAGTGAATTTTTAAAATTAAAAAAATTAATTTAAAAAAATTTTAATTTTGCATAGCAGTGAATTGTAAAGGGTAGCTGATTACTTGGCTGATTAAAAAACTTTACATATATATATATATTACATAAATATGTATTGTTTATCTTTCTACTGTTGATGAATATAGTCATTTCCAGTTTTTGGCTGTCATGGATAAGACTGCTATAAATACTTTTCACAAGTGTTCTTAAGAATTCAAGTTGCTTCACACCTCTGTCAGTATTTACTGTTGTCAGTCTTTTTATTGTTAAACATTCTAGTAGATGTAAAATGGCATCTTGTTATAGCTTTATTTTCCTAATTATTAGTGATGTTGAACTTCTCTTCATGTGTGTATTAGATCTACACATATGTCTAATGTGTAATATCTGACTGTCTTTCACTCATTGTGTTAGTTACTTTTCTCTCCTTGCTGAGACAAATACTGGACACCCAAAATTAGTGGGGAAGGGGCTTATTTGGTTTATAATTTATAAATGTTTTAGTCCATAGTTGGCTGGCTCCAGGACAGGGATGGCAAAGTAGAGGAGAAACAACATAGGGCGCACAAGGTAGCAAAGGCAACAAGAGAGTTCACAATGTCTTCCTGCCCCTTTTATCTCATCTAGACTACCAGGAGTAGGGTGGTGCCTAACCAATCCGCAGGAGGTGGTTTAGTAATCACACGCCCTAAATCCCAGCATCACACTTTCCAGATTCAGCTACCTCTGACTAAATGAGGCTTTGAGGGGGACATCCAGACCCAAACCAGAACACTCACCCTTTCATTGGGTCATTTTTTTCTGTTTTGGGGGACGCTTACTTTTTTCTTAGTATATATCTGCAGTGCACAATAAATATATTAATTGTGGGGAATTGGTATGTATATATTGCATAATTCTTTTTACTGTCATGTCCCTTCCCCACCCTCTCATCTCTCTCACCTGTAAATCCCCTTCTCTATCCACAAATCTGTTTCCTTTCTCATTTTTCTTTATGCAGTTGAGTTGCAGGAGTTGTAATGTGTTCTGATTGTGAATCCATTGTCTGATATATATTGGGAGTATTTTTTCCAGGTTATGAATTACCTGTTGATGAGCTGAAGTTGTAAATTTTAATGACATGTAGTTTATTAATGTTTAAATGGGGTGTTTTTCTGTTTATGAAGTTTTTACCTTCCTACCACAAGATTTTAAAGATATTCTCATGTATTTTTATCTCAAAGTTTTATAGTTCTGGCTTGTGTATCTTTAATTTTTAGGTGTAAAGTGTGACAAGGGTCAGGATTTATAGTTTTTCATAGTTTATCCATTTGTTCTAGCACCATTTGTTTAAAAGACTTCTTACTGAACTGCTTTGGCACATTAGATGAAAATTGATATTCCATATGTATGTGGACTATGTCTACATACTAAATTGTGTTTTATTGATCTGTTTGTTTAGTCCTTAAAGTAAAAACCTAGTGTCTTGATTTTTGAATCTTTATAGAAGTCTACATTAGAAAATGTGAAACTTTCAACTTTGTTCTTTGTCAAGATTATTTTGACTACTCTGTTTCTTTGTATTTTCCATAAATTTTAGAGTAACTTGTCAATTTGCAAAGAAAAATATGTCAATATTTTCATTATGATGACATTCTATGTACATATATTAGTTTTGAGTGAAGTGGGATCCTAACAACATTGAATCTCCTTTCAGTATATTGTATTTCTATGTTTAATTTCTTGAAGTAATATATATCTAAATTATTCACCTTTAAAATGGAGTTAATGATAGCTACTTCATGCTATTAAATGAGTTTATATGTCTAATATGCCTAGAAAATCTAGTGTCACAAACATTTGCTTTGTTATTGTATTTTATCAACCGCAACATAATTTTCTTTTTATATTTTCACATTTTCCTAAATAAGATGCATATTGTAATTGTTGGCTTTTTAGGATTGAAGTGAAGTTATTTTGGAGAGGTTTTATATTGTTTCTCTGGTCACCTGTGGATTTTTTTTTTTTTTTTTTTTTTTTTTT